ATCAAAGTTCAAGTACTAAAAATTTTTTTTTCTTAGCTAACTTCGATTCTCTACAAAAAAGGTCCATATACCTAATTATGTAGGACTAATACTTTAGAAGATTATTGCAATTTTAGTAAAAAATTATTACTTAATTTATTTATTAATTTCTATTTTTGGGCCATATTGAACTTTGATGGACTTGGGCGAGCCTAAGATATTGACCAAAAATTGCTATATTTCACACAGATTGTTTTTAGAGCATAGTGACCCATATTTTTGCTATTACCAATCAAAATTCTAAAAAAAGCAGATTTTCGGCTTACGTTAGTACACAAATGACTCACGAATCAGACGCACCGTCTATGGGGCCTATTAGCGATGTGCAAAACTTTACACCAATTTTGTAATAAAGTCCATAAGCTATATTTGTGAAAATACCAAGTCTCGCCTTCTGATAAATACCTAACATCATTTCTTGTTAATAACTGACCACCATCGATTCTCTAAAACATTGTTCACATGGGGCGATGTTACAGGCAAATTTTAGTTGAAAGTAACAGGCGCCTGGTGTAACCGGCCGTTCAACTAGTCGCTTCCAATGACGTTTAGGGGCAGCCAACTTTTTATTTAAATATTCACCTTTAAAATTGCCCGCAAAATCGCCTCATGTAAACACCGTATAATAGTTAGCGAGTGGCGAAACGAACGAAATTAAAGAGGCACAACCAAATAACATAGATAATAAAGACTGGTTTACACTATGTCATATTTAGACGCCAAAATTTGTCAACATATTTCGACACAACTTTGTCTCCTTTATCCATACCTTTACTGATGATATTATGGGCAAAAAACAGACAGATAGCCGATATAGCAGCGCATATAGATGACCAAAGACTTCCGCTACAACAACAACAACAACCAAAGACCTGTCCCGTTCGAAATAAATCGATATACAACTTTTTAATCCCATTTGATAATAGTGCGGTTCAGGATGTTGTGGAAATGGTCTTGGACTTGCAGTTAGAATTGCATTTGCAAATTTTAAGCTTGCTGCTATGACAACCGTGTGCATTTTATTGTTGTTAATTTACAAATGCAACGAATATGCAAATGCAAGAGCATATCGACCGCTGAGTGGAAGATCGACCTATCTCGGCAGCCAGTTCGAAAACGCCCTATCTCAAAAAACGTTTCAAGAACGCCGTACTTCAGAATTTTATTGAAAAACACTCTATCTCAGCATTTGGTTGAAAAACGCCCTATTTCAGAATTCGATTCAGAAACGCCCTATCTCACTTCAAAATGAATTGAAAATGTGCTGATATAGGGCGATTTTGAATCGGCAGCTGGGATAAAGCATTTTTGAAATGAATTCTGAAATAGAGCGTTCTTCAATCATATTCTCAAATAGGACGTCTTTGAAAAGTTTTTTTGAGATAGGGCGTTTTCGAACTGGCTGCCGAGATACATAGGTCGACCTGAACAGCCCTAATGTATTTTTATTTGATTTGCAGAGAATGTACGCTTCTGTNCTAACAGCCCTAATGTATTTTTATTTGATTTGCAGAGAATGTACGCTTCTGTTACTCACACTCACTACAATTATATCTACGTTCTTTGGTAAAACCAAACCCGTTCAACAAATTTTACGTTAAGCGAGTGGAACTCAAACTTAGGGAGCAGAGAATTGGCGAATCGAAGGCTGGTTTTAAACAACATGGTGGCACGAACACAAAAATAATATTCCACCTTATAATCTGTGAAAAACTGTGTAAATGTTTATCTGCTAGCTTGGCAGTTTAATTTCAAGCAACATCTTTCCCGATTTCTTTATTTCAAAGGTTTCGGCTTGATAGAAAGTTCGGTGCAGTATACTGCAGGTTCGGTGCAATATACTGCAGCTCCTACTGTTCCGTCCATCTTAGAACAGATTGTGCAGATGTGCGTTGTTACTTTTCAGCTCCACGCCCTTACGCAAACCGTCAACGTCTACTGTAGCGTATAGAGACTTTTCGAAAGTCAGATGCGGGATCGTGTAGTGTATTCGCTCGATTAAGGATGACGCTATACCACTGTAACTGTACGTTCTGAATACAAGCTGTCCTGAAGCCCCAGTTGTAAACCCTATGTTCTTGGTCACCAAGTTCGCCGGTGGCTTGTGTAAAATTGCGTCTAGAGCTGTTGTCGGATTTGTCCTCAAGGCACCCGTTTTACTGACCATTGGCAGCCGGTAAACACTCTCCAGTCTTATACGGTATGTCTTCATTTTCGTTTGTGTCCACCATATCAATAACCCTAAAAATGGCTTAACGACTGCTGTGAATATAATTCAGTTTCTATGACAGTTTGTTGTCCAGCACGATTTCAAGGTACTTCCTGTTTGGCTTTGGTTAAAGCGTAGCCTCCCCCAGTTTGGGTTTATCCCGAGCTGGCATCTTGTATTTCCTAGTGAATAATACTAAATCAAGACTGATCTGTGTTAAGATCCAGTACCATTACCATAGCATGGCTGCCTGTCTTCTATATTCACCAGCCATTTATAATCCACAAACGAAGTGGTGATAACTTCACTCCCCGTAGCACCATCTAAGCCCCTCTTGTGCCGAGATCTTTTTTACAGCCTAACATCTTGCTTATCTACGAACGAAGAGCATGATTGGCCCCTATTAGAGCTTATTTTGAGACGTTATTAAAAGCTTAATATAGCCAGAAACGCTCCTATATCAAATTCTCAATTTTCCATTTCTCCTTCGGTCCATATAACAACATTGCGGAGAGCCATATCGACTGATCTGACTTAAATATAGGCGTACTGAGCTTCTCTCATGAAAAGTTTCATCGATCTGTATATTTATTAGAGTTTTCTAGCATTTTGTTACCAGCTTTTTTAAGCATTGCTGGGAACATAACATCAAAGTATGCAGCGCCCATTCAATTTTTTCCGCGGTTACCAAGCTTTCCACAGTCAGATCTCACCCTTGGGTTTTCATTCCTGCCAGGAAATGTGCGTTGAGTAAGATATCGTGTGATTCTTCGCTACTCTGAGCTCAAGTTCCATCCTCTGCCCTAATAAGTTTATGTACTTTATTACCTTTAGATAGATCGTTCCTTATACTGACGGTCTAGGATGAACTTTCTATGCTGCCGCAGCTTTGCATGAGCTTCTCTAAGCCTTTCTTATTTCTACTCCTCCACTCTGCTAAGACAACAAATTCTCCATAATAGTCCCGGAGACGAACGAATGGGAAGGTGCCACAGACTTAAACTCAGGGTCGACGGCTATGTATACAGATGGTTATAAACTTAACAAAGAGTGGGTAGCCGAATATACTCTGATGGACTCGTGCTAAACCTCAGCTTTCGCATACCGGACCATTGTAGCGTTTTTCAAGCAGACCTAAACGCCATAGTGAAGGCCGCTTGGAGGCTCATAACCTCCGTCTCTTCAGGACGGCTTATTGCTATTTATTCTGGCAGCAATACTGCTATCAAATGTCTAAAATCTAATAGAATAATGTCCAAAGTATCCATAGAATGCAGGAAGACTCTCAACCTGTTGGCATCAAAATGGTCTTTAGCATAGTATAAGCGATGCTTAGCTCTTACTCGGCTGAACCGCTATTCTCTCAGAATAGTAGTCGGGTTAATCAACGGACACTTCCTGATGGGTACGCAGGGAAAAGGCGAAGACACCAAAAACACGCAGTTGCAGAGACGAGGAAGCGGTGGAGAAAATCGAACATTGTCCTGCTCTGCCCAAAACGCGACACCAATTCTTCAATAAGTACATTTTAAATTGTTTAGCCGACCTGAACTCGGCTATGTAAAAAGCACCTGGTGATTCAATTATTAAGGGAGGGAAAGAAACAAACAGTGGTAACACAACGAGCTTTTCCAGCCAGTCTAACCTAACCTAACCTATGTTATATGTACGCTTCTGCAAATCGGTGCGGAATATGCCCCCGCAAATCTATGGGTTTCAATACTTAGCTCATTCAGTGTTGTGAGCGTTGCAAAAAGTAGTATGCTATTGAAGGCAATCTCGATATTAGGGGCTCAACCTTCCACAAAAGTCTTGCCAAAAATGAACTCAACGACTGAATGCAAGCCAGATCCGATTCGAATCTATCTGCCTACCATCATTTAACACACAGGAATGGATAAATACTGATTTCTTAAAATCCGCTTGGAATACGTACCACATGGAGTAATCTTCATCTGCTAAGGGAGAAATGTAACGTTAATGGAGCTTAAAAACTTTGGAAACAATCGTATATTCTGCAGCTTATGCAGATCAAGGCACAATGACGACATCCCGGCTGGGTCCCTCGAAGATGGGATGCATCAATTCGAAGAAATCAATGTTGCCGTCACTGCAAAATTTGTGTTGTAATCGCTTTATAAGCTTAAAATTGCCTACTTTTTCTGCTTGGAATGCAGCGCAGCAGCATACCATTTCTACTAATGTCATAGGCATTGTTTTCTGTTTTTTTTTTAATATTTCTTTTTGCAAAGCAATTTTTTGCTGTAAACTTTTTTAGCCACATTATTATTAATGCATTCATTTTAATATTAACTTACAAAAACTGCCTTAGCGCGTTCAATGCCACCCGTATGTTAATTGCGCNAATATTTCTTTTTGCAAAGCAATTTTTTGCTGTAAACTTTTTTAGCCACATTGTTATTAATGCATTCATTTTAATATTAATTTACAAAAACTGCCTTAGCGCGTTCAATGCCACCCGTATGTTAATTGCGCAGTATTAATCACCTACTTCCTTCGGGTGAAAAATGTAAATACAGCTTTTTTTTTAATAAAACTATTTATTTCATTTATGCATTATTATTAAAGATACATTTGATCCATTTCAGTACAAATATTATAAAAAATATTTCATGTAAATGCTTATTTAAAATTTCACCCTAACCTATTTATGTATAGAAAAAAAGTCCAACAAATACTCCACTGTGATTATAAAAATTTTACCTATTTAACCCCTATAAAAGTGTGTGTATTTTAACAAATTTTTATAACAACAAAATTTCCATAAAACCTATCTACTTAGTTGACAAAGGCATAAAAAATTGCAACAATGATTATTGTCAATTCATACAGTTTATATTAACTTGAAAAAAAAAAAAACTTTCTACCATGAATTTTTAAAACATTTATTACTTATAGTGTGGCATACATACATATCTATATGGAAGTCCATGTAACACTATGACTATCGGGAGGAAAATATAATTGTATATTTACTTTCTAAACAAAATGATCAACAAGTAGTTGACGCCGTTGACCACTATTACTACTTCAAGTAACCTGACTTAAAGTACCGAATAAACATCGGTGAACAAATTGGCGCCGAATTTGCGGGATGATCTTCATGAAGAACAGCGTATACATACATTTGTATTTGTAGTATATACATAAGTGTAACCAGCGTTTTTTCAACTGCTCGCGCTGCTTTCTCATTCCGTTTCATTGCACGTACATATTTAGGTATATGCCTTTGATATTTGCATCCGTTCAGTAAGCTACCGCATTCTCCACGCTAACTCAATAACCAGTTTCCGGTTCCTGTTTCAGTGTCATGCGATACGCATTTTCGGCGTCATGTAGCCCACCACCTCCACCACCACCCATCATGTACCCACCGCCACCGCCAGCGCCACTGCTCAGCGCATCAGGTCCGCGTATTTTGAGTGGCGCGCGTCGCAACATCTCCTCGGCGCTGCCGCTATTGTATTCGTTCAGCGTCATCTCAGCCGGATTGCGTAGCTGTTGTGCGCCTGCGCCGCCACCATTATTATTGGATGCAGTATTCATTTGTTCAGGCCTTTGGTAGGGATGATTACGATGCAGCGGCGGTGAGTGCTGCATTAAAGCACCAGCTGACATTTGGGATTGACTAGGCGATGGCGATGCATGCGGATGCTGTTGCATATTCGATGGCATATGTGGCAAGTTGTGTACACTGCCAGTTGGCAGTGGACGTAAAACACCAACAGCACTTGAGCTATAGATGCTATTCTCATCCATATATGGATTGTTGTTATTGTTATTGTTGGAGGCTCCATTGTGCATATCAGCATTTGACGATTCTGGGTCGTTGAGCTGCGGTGAATGCATTGAACGCGTATGATGTGGTGTTGCAGAGCCAGTTGAGTGTTGTTGCTGTGTGCGTTGCGTCGGATTAGTGCGCATGGTGTTATATTGCGTTGGCGGTGAAGATATATTCTCGAGCAGCGGTGACATCATTTGAGCATCCAGGCTGCTGCTGTCCATACACGCTGATAAGTGGTCGGCGGAACGGGGCGACGTAAGTACGTCCAAAGTTGATGTCACATGGCTCGAATCCATGTTCCGTGTTGGGCTGTAGTTGTTCAAGCTTGGCGGCGAGAGTGGCGAGTTGTCGGCCAATTCACCTAATAAAGTTGAGTACATTAGATAAGCATGAGATGTGGGAAGAATAGTGATCTTGACGTACCTCCAAGTAGCATTTCCTGCAATAGCGAGTCAATGTGAGCAACTCCGAAAATTTTCGCAAACTGTATCTGTTCGATCATTTGCCAAGTGATAGATTGCAGTACAGGCAGTATTAAGAGGATTTCGCCAAAGCGACCGCGTGACTCGTACTGTCGGTCCGATACGTAATCTTCCAGATTGTTAAGGATTTGGTGACGTAACGTCTTGATGCGCTGTGGTTCGTTAAGACCCTTCGCGTCTAGCAAGATACAAACAACCATAGAAATATTAATAACAACGTAAAAATTTCGAAAATTCTCTAACCCTGCTGCATTAAAAACAGAAAAGGTTTCTTGAATTCACTCACTTGGATCGAAAAACACCAAAGCCTTGATGCATGCCAATTCCGTATCATCAATATTCACATCTCTCAGCGCAAAAACAAGCTCATCAATGATTCTAGCACCGATTCGCGAGATATCTAAGTTTGGCGAAAGACGTGCGTCTAAAACGAAAATACATCGCATTTAGTATTCTTCTATTTACTTTGTCATTTCGTTCGAATATAATAATAATAATAATAATAATAATAATATCCCAACGGTTTTTACCCTCCATTCCCGCCCATCCGCACGAGCGGCGCAGTCCGCATGACGAACGGAACCAGTATTTTAAATTTTTGCGCCGAGTCACGATAGGCAGGAGTTTGTTAAGTGTCTAGATCTAAAACTGTTCAGCTACAGAACTAAATTCATCAGCCGATTTATTTTATGTCTTTATTTTAATAATTCATTTATTGAGAGAGGACAGTATCGATTTCTTAATGCTGAAAAGCGGATCTGATATATCAAACGTGCTGGAATGAGAGTTAAAATCCTGGCATAAGGAACGGAGTGGGCCGTGCAATTCAAAATTAGTTTTACAAGCTTTCAGAAATAGGGGGCAAAAGTGTCTTGATACCCGGGAGGGAACATTAAGGCTAACTTCGCCAAGAAGAAGCGGACTTGAAATTGAGCCTGTTAGTAATTTAACTATAAAAATTGTACCAAGCATTTGCCTGCGGCTGGAAAGTGTAGGAAGATTAATAAGTTTTAATCGGCTCGTATAAGGTGGAAGGTTATATTGAGAATCCCAACGGAAATTTCTTAAAGCAAAAAGTAGGAATTGTTTTTGAATTGATTCTATCTTGTCTGAGTAAATTTGATACCTTGGATTCCAAACCACCGAACCGTATTCCAGAATTGGCCTAACTAATGTTATAAACAGGGTTTTAGTGATATAAGGGTCACAAAATTCTTTTGACCATCGTTTCACAAATGCAAGTACACCTTTAGCCTTGTTGACTGTCACATTAATATGAAGATTAAAATTAAGCTTAGGATCCATTGTGATACCAAGGTCCACAAAATTGTATACCTGTTCCAGGTTATGGTTACCTATTGTATAAGAAGTGGGATGAACAGCTCTTCGCGAGAAGCTCATTACTTTACATTTCTTAAGATTTAGAGGCATAAGATTTACTTGACACCAGTAAGCCATGCTGTCTAAGTCTGATTGTAGCAAAGACCTTTCTTTAATTGAAACGTACGATTTATAAAGCTTTACATCATCTGCATACATTAAAATTTTGGAAAATTGTATATCTGTAGAAATATCGTTTATAAAAAGCAAGAACAGAACCGGGCCTAGGTGGCTACCTTGAGGGACTCCTGAAGTAACATCAATGACGTCAGAGATAGTATTTTTAAACATTACCCTTTGTGATCTATCATAGAGGTATGAAGAGATCCAACGTAGAAAATTAGGTGGAAGACCAAGATCAAGTTTGTAGATGAGCAACGAGTGGCACACTTTGTCAAATGCTTTACTGAAGTAAGTATATATAACACCAACAGATTTGCTTTCACTAAATGCTTTTGAGATATAGGATGTTAATTCAAGTAAATTTGTATTAGTTGATTTGCCCTTGCAAAATCCATGTTGACTATATGAAATGCTAGAAGAGATAGAATGCGTAAACTGAGAACTACTAAGCAGCGCATTAAAACTATCTAAATTTACGTCAATTTTAAATGAAGCAATATTTCTTTCGTAATTAAAATTAATTTTTCTGATGCTTAAGTCGACAGTTGTAATTTTTGATGAGATATAAAGCTTTATATCGTCTTCGGTAGTGTCTCTCGAAAATCTAAAAACAAAGATTGATTCTCTGGCGGAGCCACAACTAGTTTCCTCGTATTAAACTGGACTACCGGCGGAGGGGGTTGAGTTACTGCATTAGTAGTTGAGGATAGGGAAGGCGGTGGAGGCTTTGAAGATGATGCCACCACTACTTCAATGGGGGAAGGGGAAGATACTTCATTCAGGCTCTTTATTATCCGAAGCAGATTTCGTTACACGGTCTTTTGAGGCTGAGGATTCTGATGCTGGAGGACACGGAGAAGATAAATTAATTAAGTCCGTCGGAAGATTATTCTGACGTGCAACGGCAGATGGACTATGAAGACGCTTACGTTTAGACACACGCATATCCTTAACAGATTGCAAGGAATCTAAGCATTTGAATGATTTAAACATATTTTCATATGCTTAAATTTTTCTGTCAGTACCGACAATTCTCTTCCTATTTCTGTAAAACCATTTCTGGTTTGCCTAAATAGCTTGAAAAGATCAACTTCGGTTGACCTGTACTTTACGCAAGACCAGCGAAGGTCCTTGCCATCATTATTAGCGTGCAGAATTCTTCCCGTCAAACCAGCACATTTCAGATAGTAAATACCATCACACAGCCAGCACGATAAGTAGCGTTCAGAATCGCTTTTAATTTGGCAAGTATCAAGATCACACTTCATATTGAAAGATTTATGTAATACACTCGTTAATAAAAGACAAACAAAATAAGTTATAACAATTAAGGAGCTGATGTAAATAGCTTTAAATAAATATAGCGAACAGTTTGAGTATCACTGAAATTATGACACTNATATCACTGTAATTATGACACTTAAGAGCGAAATACACAACACAAGCGGCTTGACAAACCAATCGAAATTTCCCTTTGCTTCAAGCCATTTGTGCTGTCTATGGGGTGTTTGAAGGTTTGACAAACCGCTTGAGGGAAATTTGAGCAAAAATCAAATTTTTTTGATTTTCTGGCCGCCATGTTGACGTTTGATCAAACCGCTTGCGATGTGGATGGTAAAATCGCCTCAATTGCAACTGAAATTTCACCAAGTGAAGACGTAAGGGAGAATAATGGTAGAAAACTAAAATGTTTTACATTGTTAACCGAAAGAAAACTAAAATTCTGTGCTTGAACGACTCATGTTTGCATGGTCTATGGCAAAATGGGAAAAGTATGTTTGACAAGCCGCTTGTGTGGTGTATTTCGCTCTTTAATAAACGCAACGCAAACAGCTGTGACAAGAATTACTAGAAGAAGTAAACAAAAAGAGTAGAACAAATGTGCAAAAACAAGATTAATTCTATTAACCAAGAATGATAGAATACAAGATTGCGCCGATCAGAGAGGATTTTTGAGAATAACTTTTGTGTGACGTCACACTGGTGCAATTGCGAGAGAGAAATGCCAAAACGTGAGCAAGAATGGAAGAAGAAGAAAAAATGATGCAAAGGAAAACGTAAACAAGTTGCACCAGTGTGACGTCATGCAAACAACGATTCTGTCAAATTCGTTAAGAGAAAAATAGCGGTACCGAGATCGGCGCAACCTTTGTATTCTCTCAATCGTGTCAGTTAACTACAAAGGATACAACAGCAATGATAGCAAAAAATGACTCGGCAAAATTAGAATGTATGCTAGTGAAATTTAATTAAATTTACTTTAATATAAAACCAATAACTTTCACTTAGCTTCAATTATTTCACACTCTTATGCTCATAAGCACTTTTTATCACTACTTTAACACAAAATTAGCACAATGAACTTAGTAAGTAGAAAGCCAAAATCAAAGCACAATAAAGTACAACCTCACAGGTTGACGTTTGCTAGGTCACCAACCTGGACAATGCTTTGTGATGACACAGTTGTTGCCCAACAATAGCACATCTTTCAAGTGCATAGAGCGGCGTGACAAACCCAGCAACAGGTGTTCGCCAGCATGCGCGCGCAGCAACGCCACTTGATCGTCCAGCTGCAGATCATTGAATGCTGGTATGTGTTTGGCCCATTCGACAAGCGTCAGCAGCTGTTGTTTCATCGATTCACACACATCGTTGATGCTGGCAAATTGTTTATTTGAGAGATCTTCATTCGGATTGGTCTCCATAGCGGCACCCGCTTTCGACTGACGGCTCTCAATCTCTGCCTTCACCAGCGATATGACGGACAAACCATTACCCGGATCGGGATCTTCATTCGAGGTGCGACGACAGCTAATGCGATCGCGTTCATTTTGAACGGCCTCCTTTTTCATGCCCGCCTTGAAGCATTTGCGCAACCGACAATACCGACACTGGTTACGCTTGTCCTTGTCTACGACGCAATTCCGTGAGAATCTGTTTAGGAAGTAGAGCAACTTTACTTAATTGATAGCTCACTTTTATGATATTTTACCTGCAGGTATATTGGTGATTCTTGCGCACGCTGCGTCGGAAGAAACCTTTGCAGCCGTCACAACTGGAAGCACCATAATGTTTACCGGTGGCGCGATCACCACAAATTGCACAAACATTCGATGATTGTGAGTTGTTATTTTGCGCAAATGAGTTATTATTATTATTGATGGCAGCGGTATTGCTGCCACTAGTGGATAAGTTGCCATTGCTATTGCTGTTACCACCGCTCAGACTTAGTGCAGGACTAAGGGCCTGACTGCCACCCGGACTGTGGGCGGAAGCGTTGCTGAGGGACAGCGATGGCTCCATACTGTGCAGCATGTGACTCTCAGCATCTGCAAAAAGAAATGAATAGAAAAATTACTTTTGTGTAACTTGGTGTATGTGAGTTATAAGTAGAATACAGTTACTAAATTAATTGAGCACAGGTGACGTTTTTCAAAATTCAGAAGTGGAATATGACCATTTTTGCTTGTTGTTCCAGGCAACGGAAGGGAATTGAAATGTCCCTAACTATGCAGCTTTGTTCTCTGAAGATTGTGTTAGCACTACACTGTGTTATTTCATTTTTGACTTGTCTGTACTACTTTTAAGCTCAGCGCCGCATAGTTGGAAAAATGAAGGTGGTCACAATACTTCGGGTTTCAAAATTTTTCTAATTTTAAATTTAGTTTATTTTTTTTTTTTAATAAAAGCTGATGAAATTCTTTGTCAATCAGTGGAAGCCGATTTTTGAAAAATTGTTTCAAACTAATTTTTTTTTTATAACCGAGTTGATTTTTTTTTGTAAAAAATAATTCTAAAAAATTAATTTCTGTCCACAAAAAGGGGCACCTTAGTAATAACCACAAGTAGTATAAAATGATTGCAAATAGTTCGTATTTTGTTATAAACATCTAATTTAAAATACTGTGTAGGCTATAAGATTTACTATTTTTGTATCCAATTTTAAAAATCAGATATGTTTTAAAAATAGAAGTTATGAACCTTTAAAAGTATATATATCTACAGATACACCAAAATTTTTGGGAGTTTTCATTGGGTAAATTTGAAAAAAAATCTTGCTTATAAAATTTTTGCAGCTTTGACCATCGCTTACTTAAAAAATTTCTATAAAAGTTGTTAAATATGTAGTATGCATCGAAAATTACGATTCTTTGCGAACATTAAACAAGTTTCTATTTAAAAATCTTCATACAAACTTTATTTTCAATCGATTTTTTTCTGCACTTCACAAAACCTTTTTCGAATTCAGGACAAATAAAATGAAGATCTAAATTGTACGTTATCATTTTGAAGTTACGTCTGACGAAATTCAAATCTGCGACCATCTACGGCAGAATATGTTAACAAATATATAATGCTAAGTAAAGTAAATAAATAAACAAGTAAAATAAAATATTTTTTTTTGTTATTGATATTTGATGTCCAAAAGTGGTTAGTTACAAGTTAGTTGACATCTGATGCAGAAGTAACCACCCTTAACTATATCGCGGCCATCGCCATACAACTATAGTTAGCTTTCCTCAAAGAAAGTATACAGATGACCTTTAGTTCCTTCCTAATCAACTTTAAGTTAACTGATAGTTAAGTACATTTCCTGCAAGGTATATACTATAGTACCTACATATGTAGTAATGATAGGTTATGCTACGGCGATAAGACAGTTCGTTTCTATGCTCACGGATTGAATAAGAACAGTCGGTTTTACATGACAAATTTCATTTTACATAAGAACAACTTTTAAATTTAATTAGAGTTATCTAAGTTGAGCGATAGTAAAAAAATACAACTGAAAACATTTAACGAAATTAATCAAGCAAACTATATACATAAATATATATATATATATATATATGTACAGATAAAAGCATTTTTAATCGCATGTGCACACAAATGTATTTTTTTAAATATGTATGTTTATAACTACATATGTATGTACATATACATACATACATATATGTATGTATGTACAACTGTATCCTATTGGCAATCTTGTCGAGTATTTTTTTGATCTGAGCGTGTATTTATTCCGTGCTAACATATAGAAGCTGTCAAGTCATCATAATAAACATGTCTCATATCATATCAAGCGTAGCGTCTTAGTCATATTTAAGGTCTTTTTTGCAAAGAAAAATATAATTAAATTGTTCAATAGTAAAATTATATTTACAATTTAAACAATTTCAGCATTAAAGCTTATTACGTAGATACGAGCAGAAAGTAAAATTCAAACAAAAAAAAGCAAAAATAAATAAATGCAGAACTTGTCGGGCATAGCCCTCAGAATTTCGTTTTAATTCTAAATTGACATACTATGTAAATATTCCTGCAGTGGTATAGGCATATACATACATATATATTTCACATATGTATTTGTTTGCGGCTGTTTTCGTTAACATGTATTTATCAATTCATGTCTCTCGTTCTTTTGCTCCGATCTTTCTTATTTGACTTCAAGTGTCTAGTAGGGCATGCGCAGAAATACCAAAAAAAAAACAACAAGCAGCTGTTAATATATTCATATAAAATTTAGCAAATACATATCGTCGGTGATACTGCAAAACGATGTACATATGTCAATGCAATGAGTACACACTTGGCATTTAAATGATATGTTACCTGCACCGGAATGCATCTGCAAATCCGTATACTCTCATACATTTATGACAATACTATCTACCTTTGGCTGCTGTGAGATGAACACCTAACAGAAGTGATCAGTTACAACTGATAGATCATTTAAGCACCAGAGATAATAGCCCTGTTCGCGTACGCACTATCCAGTAAATCCAGTACTAATTTTACTGGTTTTTTACTGGATGTCGTTTTCGTACGCAAAAACTTGCAAGAAACTAGCAAAAGAGGGGAAATTGAGAGAGCAAAAATGACAGCAGAACTTGCAAGTTTTACTGGATCAATTTTTACTAGCAACTATTTGCTAGTAAGAAAAACAGCTGATGGCATGATGCTTATTGTAAATCACATTTAGTCTGTTCCTTTGAACTTCGGACTAAAACCTGTGGAACTGTCAAACTACAATTTTACGCTCTCAAATGAGAGTAAAAGGAGAACAGATGCAGAAGTGCATAGGAACGCAAAAAGCACTATTTCATGTAAAAACATCAGACGGACCTACAGTTTTACGCCGACTCCGAACGGCGATTGTATTTTTATGAGAACTTGTTTTTCATGGCAGAAATACACTCGGAGGTTTGCCATTGCTTGCCGAGTAGCGACCGCTGTTTAGAAAACCCCCTTTTTTCTAAATTTTTTTACGATGTTGCTTTGACCAGGGTTTGGACCCAGGTCCTGCGGAGTGGAAGCGCGCACTGCTTACCATTATGTATGTGTGCACATAAATAATTACCGAATAAACATTGTGGAGAACGTTCGAAAAATATCGTCGACATCTCATTTGAATATCGAACTGACAACGAACTTATTACCAACCTTAGTTTCCCAACGTTCAGAGTAAATTGCAAATATACTCGAAATGGATTCGAAAAACAATGAAAACCATGGTAACAAGAGATGAAGTAAAATCCAGCTCACTCTCAAAGGGAAATATAAGACAATAACTCACTCACAATCAAATTTCAATTCGAATACTGCCCTTTTGCACAATCGCTATCGAAGGTGAGATTCGAAAAAAAGATTAGGTAGAATTTCTTTTATTTGACAGGAGAAGCAAAAAAACATGTTAAAAAGAGTATCAAAAACAGGTAGGGCTTTTTAAAAAGTGGCTTGTAACTTCATAGGTTTTGGTACTAATACTTTAAAATTTTTACTGAACGTGTTGTTTATTTAATACCTCCTATCAAAATCTTTGAAAAACGAAATTTCGAAAAAAGTGTTGGTTAGGGCCTTTTTGCATTAAGGCGAGGATATGTGAAAGGCTGTTTATATTTATTATTTCATGGCACCCTGTTCCGNTATCTCATTTGAATATCGAACTGACAACGAACTTATTACCAACCTTAGTTTCCCAACGTTCAGAGTAAATTGCAAATATACTCGAAATTTCGAAAAACAATGAAAACCATGGTAACAAGAGATGAAGTAAAATCCAGCTCACTCTCAAAGGGAAATATAAGACAATAACTCACTCACAATAAAAATTCAATTCGAATACTGACCTTTTGCACAATCGCTATCGAAGCAGGAGAAGCAAAAAACATGTTAAAAAGAGTATCAAAAACAGGTAGGGCTTTTTAAAAAGTGGCTTGTAACTTCATAGGTTTTGGTACTAATACTTTAAAATTTTTACTGAACGTGTTGTTTATTTAATACCTCCTATCAAAATCTTTGAAAAACGAAATTTCGAAAAAAGTGTTGGTTAGGGCCTTTTTGCATTAAGGCGAGGATATGTGAAAGGCTGTTTATATTTATTATTTCATGGCACCCTGTTCCGCGCATATAGAATATTTGTAGATGTTGTCCTTCTTTGTTATGTACATACACTTAATATTTTTCTACATATTTCTATTTAAAAACACTGAACTACTAAGAAACAAGTAAGAGCAGCGCTGTCTTCGGCTATGCCGAAGGNACATTATTGCTGATGAGAGTGACAATAAAAAAGTGGGCATGTCATACCAAAACAATATTTTCGAAAGCAAACAATCTTTGGGTTGTAGTTTATTTTTAGCTAAAAAGAGAACTGGGGTGAACTTAATATGATCTTGAATATGTATGTATGTATGTATGTATATGTAGGCATGACAATTTTAAAGCAAAGCAAAGATGGCAAGCTGAAAGCATACTTAGCGAGGCATATATTAGGAATGAACAATCAAGAATTCGGAATAACAACTTTTATTCAAATGGAATAACCCTAAGCGCACTGAAGTCGTACCATTTTTTAACCCTGTAACCATAATCGATCTAAGAAGGCCCTTTTGGTCAAAGGTACTTTAAAATAAAGTCGAAACTCGGTTTTAGATTGTGCATTGCTTGATTCGTATTCTAAATCTTACGATTGCTTGAAGAATCTCACAAAACGAAAATTAGTCCTCCAAGGAGATTGTGCCACTTTTTTAATCAGTCACATGTGATTTCTATGCCCACAAATCGAAGCGCTTATGCACGTAAAATTTAAAATTTCATGCACATATGAGCAACAATTAAAATCCAGTGCTCGTAACAAAGCGCTCATGCAATTGGCGTATTAACCATCTAGGAAAATCTAAATTAAAGTTTGAGTTATTTTCTATACATACTCTGTAAATGGCCGTTAGGTCTAATGGTTGAAAATGGGGTGTGATGTGTTCCACAGAAGGTTTGTTTGGTCATGAAGCAATGTGCTAACGGTAGCATGGGATAAGGCTATTCT